GTATGATTCCGTCTTGCCAAATCAAATGGCTTCCAACGGTTGTATTGGTAGCAATGGACGGAGGGAAATGTCTGTATGTTCCATGACCACCCAATGGAATATTAAAGTAGAGTGACTATGACGTAACAACGTACAAAATGCAATGATTAATGAAACTTTTTACTCTCCTAATGGGTTTGGTTTATGTGGGAAACGATAATGGAAGAGAAAAAATTTGTTTGACCATCAGCCCCTTTTTTTAAACAATAATTGGCCACAAAAATTGGCCAGAAAACTCACATGGGGTTGGCCCCATGTGAGTAATGAGTAAAATATTGAAAAAAATAACTCACCCGTTGTGAGTGTTTTGCCATTTTCTGACCACTCTGCTTCTGTACAAGAAGCAGAGCTCTTTTTTAAATTCAATTTCTCGTCAGGTGGACACACTGTCAAATATTCCTTAATTCATAATCATTAATAAATCTCATCTGAGTAAAATATTGAAAAAAATAACCCCCCTACTATGAGTGTCTGGCCATTTTCTGGCCACTCTGCTTCTTGTAAAGAAACAGAGCTCTTTTTTAAATTCAATTTCTCATCGGTGGACACACTGTCAAATATTCCTTAGCCCCCGTTTGGGCCACCTTATTTTCTTATTAAAATGAAAAATATGAGCGTTATCCATCACATCAACATTTAAATTCAAATTTTCTATCTCTTGTATTGACTTCAATAACTGCTATATTTTTCATTTTCATTCTATAAAAAGGTGGTTCAAACAAGGCCTAAATAGTCATCAATTTAGTAGAGGAATCTGCCAATAAGGTATTGACGCGTGTTTTTGTACCATATTCTGGTGTTACTTGATTATGCGAATGGGAAGTGCAGTAGCCTCGTGTGAAGGACGAGTGATGGGTAGTTGAAATCTGACATTTTGATGCAGTGAAGCCGTCTCTGCACGCCGTTCTATTTTTTTTAACAAATTTTTTTTTTCAGGTAAAAAATAACTAATATCACATATTCCATGCTCGTGAGTAACATTACAATAAAGGTATGTCTAATTGCAAATGTGAAAAATAGGTGTAAAGAAAATGTTTTATAGAAAATTAATTTACCTAAAAATTATTTTATTGAAAATTGTAATTAATTGTGTTTGATTGGTATAATTTTTCGGGGAAAATGTTAAAAATTTGCTGTTCGTTTGACTTCATTTTTTATGGAAATTGTCTATTAAAGTGATAATGTTTTTTTATCATTGGGTTTAGAATTTGTTCCGATGACCAAAAAAAAAAATAACTATACCAAATACTATTCGTTTGATTTTGTTATGCATAGAAATTATCAATAAAAGTGAAATTTTTTTTTACCATTGTATCTAGAATTTTTTCTAATTAAAAAAAAATTGGAAAATATTTACCCACCAAAGATCAAGAATTTATTTTCCTCAAAAATGTAAAAAATTTGAAAAGTTGGAAAATATTTTCGTAGGAAAATTTTGCCTATCAAACAATACAAAAGTTGAAAAATTGAAAAAAAAATCATTTTCCGTAGAAAATGTGTGCTATCAAACGGGGTCTAAGTTACTTATAATTTTTAATCAACGTTAAATTTTAATTTTAAGTACATAATCATATTGTTACTCACTTATCACCGTCTATTTGTTACTTAGTAGTTTGGTATGGATTAAAATCGATTTTAATTTAAATCTAAATCAATAATTAATTTTATTCCCATATTTAATGAACGCTTAACTTCTCAACAACATATCTCATAAATCTTCTATATATTAAAAGTGGCTATGCAACGGAATTTTTTGTTTTTAACGAAAAAAACTAAAGGAATTTGTTGTTTTAACGGACCATGTAACGAAATTTCTTGTTTTAAACAGGCAGCTGCACATTCTTTCAGTGTTTTTATCATAACTTTGTATTCCGATATCCGATTGAGGCGATTCAAAATGCGTTGGAAAGCTAACTCATCTGGCTACAACTTTGATTCAGACATCATTCTCCAATTCGATCACTTTCTATGCCAA